CTAGTTCTTTCTCAAACCATGTGCCTTTGGAGCTCTGAGCTGCCATGGAAGAAAACCACCTACCCTGAAGCCACAACACTGGAAAGACCATGTAGAAGAACCACAAAGAGATAGAAGAGGACCAAATGTGTGGGCCTTCCCAGCCCAGGCTCCAAATATGCAAGAAGTAAGCCTTCATTTCTTATTGGTTTTAATTTTTTTAAAAAATAAATTGAGACAGGGTGTCCCCCAGGCTGGTCTTGAACTCCTAAGCTCAAGCAGTCCTCCCACCTTGGCCTCCCAAAGTGCTGGAATTACACGCATGAGCCACCATGCCCGGCTGCAAGTAGAGGCCTCCATCACCAGCCACCACCTGATGACAACCCCATGAATGACCCTCAGCAAGAGCTACCTACTGAGTCCAGCCAAATTCCAGGCCCATGAGAGAGAAATAAAATTGTTGTTTAGAGTCACTAAATATGGAATAATTTATATCAACAGATAACTGGAATCACAGGTGTCACTGTTAAAGGTAAAACTTTGAATACATTTGTTTTTGCCTTCTGCCACATTCCACAATTGACTTTTGTTCATGAACCCATTGACAAGTTTGCCTTATTGCTTTTCCTTCTTCCTTTTTTATTTTTGTAACTTAAAATCACGTAATAAAACAACACAAAAATGTATTTGAATGTAGGTTGAATGACTGTAAATAAGCACAAAAGTTCTCCTTCCTAAGAATCTCTTGTCTGTATATGCCAAGTGTCTAACACAAGGCCTGCCTGGCACATAATTTTTTTTTTTTTTTTTTTTTGTAAATGTTAGTCGTTTTTATCATTCTTTCTCCCTTTCAGTGGTGTTATCTTTACCCATGGAATCCAGCACCTTCATGCTGACTTCTAGTTCCCCAAAGTCCCTAACCTCTACAGTCCTCTCCAACCCCCACCCCAGGCCTCTCTATATGTTCCAGACATTTTCTGGCTTTTTACCATTATCCAAACATGATCCAAACTCTGAACTTATCTACTTAATTTTTTTTTTTTTTTTTTTTTTTTTGAGACAGTGTTTTGCTCTTGTTTTCCAGGCTGGAGTGCAATGGCATGATCTTGGCTCATTCCAACCTCCACCTCCCAGGTTCAAGTAATTCTCCTGCCTCAGCCTCCCGAGTAGCTGGGATGACAGACATGTGTCACCACATTTGGCTAATTTTGTATTCTTAGTAGAGATGAGGTTTCCCCATGTTGGTCAGGAGGCTAATCTAGAATTCCCAATCTCAAGTGATCCACTTGCCTTGGCCTCCCAAAGTGGTGGGATTACAGGCGTGAGCCACTGGCTAAGCCTTATCTACTTCTTTAAAAAAACACATAGGGACTAGATAGCTAATATAAATAATGCCAGTGTTAACACAAAAATTTGACTTGGATGACCATAGCACCCTTCAATGTTTACCCCATGGAATAAGAAAATTTCAAGCACTTTTCTAGGCCACCTGAGTCTATTTTGGGTAAGGATCCTTAAGTTGATACTCAAGTAATGACATTCATGCAATGTAGAAGACTATGCAAAAATCTGTCCTGGCTTCTCTCCATGCTATGGGCCATCTGTGAAGCCTTGGAGGATGGGTCAAATGTATGCATTGTCTCCTCTTCGCTACCATTTTTGTACAGATTGCTAATCTAATTAAAATTAATGTCAATAGCAATATGGAAGGGGAAAGCCTAAAAAAAAGAGGGTTTTTGAAGAATGGGGGACCAGAAGAGGACAATTTTACCTGAATTGTTTTCCTTTAGAAAATAAATTTGTTCGTGCAATTCTGTGAGTCAATTAACACATGTATATAAATACACATTATTTAACCATTATTATTATCACTATGTGACCCTTCAGTGTACTGGCTACCATGGGTGTAAGATAAATTACAGAAACTCCTTATTCTGAAGGACTAGTTCCAACAACAATTTGGCATTGTGCAGTGTGTGGGGCCTGGGAAAATCCTCTGATTTGCCATACCTTAGGGAAGGTTTTTGCATGATGTTAGGCCATGTCTCTTACTGCAATGATAAGCATTCTTAGATTTAAAAATAATACCAAGGTGTCAGGCAAACTGAATTCCATCAATAATAACATCTTTTCATAAACTAAAAGTTGGCAAAGCCTTCATTAAAAAAAAAAAAAAGAATTTATTACTAAATGAATTTAATTCACAAAAGGAATTTTCCCTAATATTTAGGCTGCTGTTGGTTTTGGCTTTGTTTGTTTTTAATTAACATTTTTAGTTGTGTGGTTTGATCAAATATTGAATTTGAGTTCAAAGATACATTTTCTTTGAGGTTGCGGTCTAAAGAGACCAAGTAAATAACAGAAAATCATAGTTTCCAAGTTTTGCAGAACAATGCTCAGTAGTTCCATGACTTTTTCAGTGTTCTACAGAATTGAGCTACTCCCTCTTACACAAAAAAGTGCTCCAATTTTCATCTGTTTTTTCTTCTTTGCTGAGTTTCTTCATCTCTTTCTTCTTTGCCTACTTTCTTAATTTCTTCCTATGTAAATATATACTTCCTAAGTATGTATATGAAAAAGCTATCTTTGAGAAGTGATATAACATCAGAAACAAGGGTAGACTCGAAATTAGAGTCCACTGACTCGTTATGGAACTTTAGATAAGTCACTAATCAGGAAATTTTGTGTGTTAATGGTGTTTAGTTGATTGAGAAGGGGTGGACAAAACATCGTGACTTCAGGGCCTCAGCAACAGAACTTCTAAATATTTCCATTGCCAGCACTTACCTTACAGGCACTAGATAATTCTGCAGTGAGTTATTCTGTACAAGAAGGGCAAGGGCTTCAGAGTCAGGTAACTGGGAAGTTATTTTCTCTTTCTGTTGTTTAGTAGCTGTGTGAACTCAGGTGAAGTTCATAATCCCATTTAGCCTTAGTTTCCTTGTTTGTAATGCCCATCATGAGAAGTTGTTCTAAGGATCACAGAAAATATACCTAAAGTACCCAGCAAAGTCTTGACACAAGGAAAGTGTTCCATAAATGGTAGCTATTTGAAGTAGTCTAAGATGTCTCTTTCAAATGTTTAATACACCCATATAATCCCAATCTTAATCTCTCACTCTTTTGTTGGCCCATCATTAGAGCACCAGATCCCCTTGATTGCCTTCCAGAGTAAGGATGCAAGACCACTGAGAAGTGTGCAGCGCTGGTAAGAGGAGATGGGGCCAGGTGGCATGGTGATATCATGCTGTTGCCCCTGCCAGACAGACTCTGTCTTTGCTGAAGTGTTTAGTAATGGTATTGTGGCAAATGCCTTTTTAGTCAAAGGCAATAAATCTTCCCTTGTTTAAATGACAGATGGCTAGAACTGTTACTTCTGTTTCTAGCAAACCCGGAAGGGGAAAAAGAAGTAACTGACATTCAGAGTTCTTGTTTTTAAAGAATATCAGGGGAAAAATGATAATAATGTAGTTTCAGCAAAGTTATACAGTGTTTGCCGTCAACAGAATAATGGGCCCCCTAATGATGTTCCCATCCTAATCCCCAGAACCTGTGAATATGTCAGGTTACAGGGCAAACGGGAATTTAGACTGAAGATGGATTTAAGTTTAATTAGCTGATCTTAAGATAGGGAACGTGGCCTAATTTATCCAGGTGAGCCCAATATAATCACAGTGGAAGAAAGAGACAGAAGAATCAGAGTGAGAGAAGCTGTGGCTACAGAGGACAGAGTGGTGAGATGTGAGGACTCTGCCTGCCATGCTGGCTTTGAAGATGAAGGAAGGGAGCTGTTAGCCAGGACACCTCTAGAAGCTGGAAAAGGTAAGCAAACAGATTTTTCCCTAGACTTCCAGAAAGCTCTGCTGACTGACGCCTTGATTTTAGCCTAGTCAGACCCATTTCAGATTTCTGACATCCAGGATGCGAAGATGATATATTTGTGTTGTTTTAACCTATTAAGTTCTAAAATTGGTGAACCATTTTCTTCTCTCCCTTTACAAACCAGGTGCTGTTTACAGTGAACAGTGCTTTATGACAAAGCAAAAGCAAAGCAGAGGAAAGCACCAGCAAAGGGCATCCCTTGCTGGCTAGCTGCTGATTACAGTGGCCTCTATTCACTTCTTATCGGTTTTTTTTGTTTTTTTGTTTGTTTGTTTGAGACAGTCTTGCTCTGCCGCCAGGCTGGAGTTCCGCGGCGCCATCTCGGCTCACTGCAACCTCCACCTCCCAGGTTCAAGTGATTCTTCTGTCTCAGCCTCCCAAGTAGCTGGGATTATAGGCACCCACCACCATGCCTGGCTAATTTTTGTATTTTTAGTAGAAACAGGGTTTCACCATGTTGGCCAGGCTGGTCTCAAACTCCTGGCCTCAGGTGATCTGCCCTCCTTGGCTTCTGAAAGTGCTGGGATTACAGTCATGAGCCACCACACCTGGCCTCAATTCCTGTCTTAATATGTATCACATGCCCTGCCCGAGATCACGAGGATTCTGTCTCTCATTCCCACAGTCTTGATGTTGCCTCTACTTCTCTTCCATTTTCTTTTTCCTTGATGTGATCCCCTTCTTTCTCATTCTTCTCTTCTTTCATTTCCCCAGTTGTTTTCTTTTTCTACTCATAGGAAATAGGTAGCAGTGGCCCAAGCTAGAAGAAAAAGGACGCTCCTACCAGCTCCCTCCCTTCTTCACAACACCTACACAGCTGCTGGGGAAGTCTTGAATGAAAGCTAGAAAAGAAGGAAAAGAGGCATTTGAGAACAGAACAGAAATAGTCACAGAAGGGTGACAGGCAGGAGATACCATCTCATTGACAGCTGCCTTTCTACAGAGAAGTTATTCCGTTGTACTCTACACCAGGGCTGGGCTTAAATATTGCTCCTATGTACTTGGTAGTATAGTAGAAGCACCTCCATTTCTCTAAATAGTTTTTTTTTTTTTTTTAATTGTGAAAAGATACACATACATTTAGAATTAGCCAGCTGGACTCAGGTTAGATGATCCCAATTTTCCTGGCAACCTCCAAGGCATCGTAATCAGGAGCCGTCGAACATATGCCTTCTTCTCTCCATCAGGCCGAATCGGGGTGTTGACCTGGGCCACATCAATGTCATAGAGCTTCTTCACAGCCTGTTTGACCTGGTACTTGTTGGCTTTAACATCCACAACGAACACAAGTGTGTTGTCTTCTATCTTCTTCACTCCGGACTCAGTGGTCCGCGGAAACTTGACGATAGCAGAGTGGTCAAGCTTGTTTCTCCGGGGGTGCTCTTCCGAGGATATTTTGGGTGTCTCCAGAGTCACAGTGTCTCAGTCTGCCGGAAAATGGGTGACCTGTGGATACTCTTTGTGTGTGTGTGTGTGTGTGTGTGTGTGTGTGGCTGTGGACACCTTTCAACATGGCCTTCTTGGTCATGAAAGCCTTTGCTTTGGCTTTAGGAAAGGCAGGAGGTTCCTTTTTTGCTTTCGGCGCCATCTTGTGAAAAGGGTCCCATTTCTCTCTCTCTCTTTTTTTTTTTGAGACAAATTCTCGTTCTATTGCCAAGATCCAATTTCTCTAGTTAACTGCATACTTAGAGTTCTTGGTAGAGTTTAGAACACAGTTAAGTATTCTGAGTGTACCTACCCCCATGACTGTCTGTAATCTGTACAAAATTTGATATGCCCTTTCAGATAGTTAGATATTTATTGAGACTCTGCTGTATAGTTGGCAGTGCTCCAGGTATAGGCAGTGGTGGTGGCAGCAAGCAATAGGACCAGTGGAGCCTGCTTTCTAATAGAGAGTCATCTCTCTAGGCACAGCATAGAAGCAACTTACTGGAGGTGTCGTCTGAAAGATTTGAGCTCACATCTTTTTTACACAAGATCAGCAAAGCCAGAATTCCTCCCCTTGCTTGTGTTAGCCTGTGACTGTGTGCCTCTCGAGTGTATAACAGCTTCTTCCTTGGGAGTCAGGTAGCTGCTACTGAAACATGAGACAAGAACACACCCTTCTTTCCATTTCCTCTGCGGCTTTGGATGTGATCTCTCCAGGTATGCAAAATAAGATCTTGATACCATTTTGACCTGTGTTGTCATTTTACAAATTTTATCAGAAGACTTCATATCAGATGGAAGCAAATCTTTAGAAGGGATGTTACAACAACTTGAACTAGGCATACTCCCTATCAGAGCTATGTTTTCATTCATTAGAGATGGAGTAGGAGTCTTAAAATGTGTAATTCTAATTGCCTGTTTCTACAGCCCTCTAACTGGTCTCCATGGCTTCTCTTTTCCTCCTCCTGTCTTGCCTGTGAACCTTGATTAGAGAACAACACAGCACTAACAGCCACCCCTCCCTCTGTCTACTGCCTCCTTATTTGTGTTAGAGGCTCTTATAACACCCTGCATTCCCCACTTTGTCAATAGTCATCACACCGAATTCTGATTGCCGATTTAGAATCTGCATCTACCACTGAATTCTGATCCATAGTGGCTGGCCCATGCCTGTCTTGTGGACATCTGCCTGTAAACCACTTAGCCCAGGTGCGAGGAAGCAAATAGTACACATAGGTTTGCAGAGTGATTGAAAGCTAATTTGCTATCTAAGAATGTGCAGTGTTTCCTCAGTGTTTGTTAGATCAGGCCCAGACTCTTAATTGCCGTTTTAAACTCCTCTCATTTTTCTTTTATTCCAGCTTTCGGATCTCTTCTTGGTTCTCATCTGGCTCTTGTATCTTCATGCTATGGGTTGATTCTTCCACCTGCCTATCTGTGGTAGCTTCTCTCCCAGGATGGCTGCCATCAATTTCTTCTCTTCTGTATACATATGCCACTTCCCCATTGAGAGATGGAGTCATCTTCTTTCTCCCTGGAATCTGGTCTGGCCTGTGACTAATTTCAGTAATAGAATCTGGCATTTTAACTATTGAAACTACCACAAAAAAAAAAAAAATTAGAATATGGCAGAAGTCACAGTGCCAATTTTGGCCCTCTCTTTAAGAATACTGGCAGTTTCCACTTCCTGTCTCTGAGAGCTCTGAACTGTCATTGTTAAGGGCAGGCAGCTCTTTTGGAGAGAGAAGCTGTGTGGAGAAGGCTGAGGCCTTCTTGGGAGGCTCCCACTTCTTGGGAGGCTAAGTGGGGAGGATTGCTTGAGCCTGGGAGATTGAGGCTACAGAGAGCTGTAATCACACTACTGTACTCCAGCCTGGGTGGCAGGGTGGCCTGTTTCAAAACAAAAAAGAACAAGCAAAAACCCTGTAAAAGTGTAGTGATGAAAGTCACAATTAGGCTGCACTGAGGACTCACACCTGCAATCACAGCACATCAGGAGGCAAAGGTGGGAAGATTGAGCCCACAATGAGTGAAGATATCCTCTTGGACAACTAGCCCAGCCAGGCTTTGAGCTGACTGCAGTCTCAGCTGTAGATTGTCACTACATGAGCGATATCAATCAAGACCCATGCACAGTCATCCCACAGAACCATGACATGACAATAGTTGTGTCAGCTACCAAGTTTTTGGGTGGTTTGTTGTACGGCAATAGATATCCTCCATAGCATTCATGCAAGTCCCAAACCTACAATTTCTGTGAAGCCTTACCTTGCTAGTCTAGTTGACACTGATCTCCGCCTTCTCTGACTCCCACAGAACGTGTTGATGCCACACATTTTGCTATCCAGCTGTATGTGTTATTACTTTCCCTTTCTTGAATGCTAATCTGAACTCCATGACCAAATTATATAGTCTTTGAAGATACCAATAGTAGAAATATGTCTTTTGTAATCCCTTCAACATGTCCTAGTACTGAACAAAAACGTAATTAATGAGCTGTTGAATTAGATTAAAAGTAAAAATATTCTTGGCCATTTTCGCGCTCTGCCAACTATTTTGACTTTTCTTCACAGTGTTTCTTTCAAATCATGTTGATAAAAAGCATGTGTGGCAGCAGGCAGCCCTTGGGATCCTTCCCCCTGCAGACAGTCTGTGGCAGGTTCTCAAAACGCGGTCCAGGAGCAGCAGCACCTAGGAACCTGTTAGAATTGCAAATCCTTGGGCCTACCCCACACCTACTGAATGAGAAGTCCTGGGGGTGGAGCCCAGCATTCTGTGTTTTACCAAGCTTTCCAGATAATTCTGATGCATATTAAAGGATGAGAATCATTCTAGTAGTGGAAAGAGTCCTGGTTTAAAGTTAGAAGGTCTAGGAGTTTTTAGGCTTACCACTTGTTGGTCCTGAGATTTATGTATCAATGAGAAAGTTACTTTGCTCCCCTGAGTCTCTCCTTCCTCATCTGTATTATGACAGTCCTAACCCTGAGATGGGAGAGTGTCTTAGACCATTCTGTGTTGCTGGGTTAACTTGTAAAGAAAAGAGGTTTGACTCATGGTTCTGCAAACTATACAAGAAGGATACTGCTGGCATCTGCTTCTGTAAAAGCATCAGGAAGCATACAATTACAGCATAAGGCAAGGGAGGAGCAGGTGTGTTACATGGCAAGAGAGGAAGCAAAAGAACAGACAGGCTCTTAAACAACCCGCTCTCACATGAACTAATACAGTGAGAACTGGCTTATTACTGTGGGGAAGGCACCAAGGCATTCATGAGGGATCCACTCTCATGACCAAAACACCTCCCACCACCTCCAACATTGGGGGTCACATTTCAACATGTGATTTGGAGGCAACAAACATCCCAACTATGTCAGAGAGTCAAGTGGAATCATATTTATGACTCATCCTTAAAAACTGTAAAAGGACCAAGAGTGGTAGCTCAAGCCTATAATCCCAGCACTTTAAGAGGCTGATGCGGGAGGATTGCTTGAGCCCAGGAGTTAGAGACCAGCTTGGATAACATAGGGTGAATCTGTCCCTACAAAAAATTAAAACATTAGCCAGGTGTGGTGGCACACGACTACAACTTCTTGGGAGGCTGAGTGGGGAGGATTGCTTGAGCCTGGGAGATTGAGGCTACAGAGAGCTGTAATCACACCACTGTACTCCAGCCTGGGTGGCAGGGTGGCCTGTTTCAAAACAAAAAAGAACAAGCAAAAACCCTGTAAAAGTGTAGTGATGAAAGTCACAATTAGGCTGGACTGAGGACTCACACCTGCAATCACAGCACTTCAGGAGGCAAAGGTGGGAAGGTTGATTGAGCCCACAAGTTTGAGACTAGCCTGGGCAACACGACGAAACCCCATCTCTGCAAAAAAAATTAGTTAACTGTGGTGGTGCCCATCTCTAGTCCTGGTACCTGGAAGACAGGCGGGAAGACTGCCTGAGCCCAGGATGTCAAGACTACAGTGAGCTGTGACTATGCCACTGCATTTCAGCTTGGTTGACAGAGTAAGACCCTGTCTCAAAAAAAAGAAAAAAATGTCACAAGTAGTGATGGGTGTTTCTTCATTCACAAGGTAGAATGGGATTGAACACAGAGAAGAATGCTTTCTTTTCTTTTTTTTTTTTTGAGACGGGGTTTCACTCATGTTACCCAGGCTGGAGTGCAATGGCGCGATCTCGGCTCACCGCAACCTCCGCCTCCTGGGTTCAGGCAATTCTCCTGCCTCAGCCTCCTGAGTAGCTGGGATTACAGGCATGCGCCACCATGCCCAGCTAATTTTTTGTATTTTTAGCAGAGACGGGGTTTCACCATGTTGACCAGGATGGTCTCGATCTCTTGACCTCGTGATCCACCCGCCTTGGCCTCCCACAGTGCTGGGATTACAGGCTTGAGCCACCGCGCCCGGCCTAGAATGCTTTCATTTTAACCTACTTTGCTCCCTTTTCCTTCCTGCCTTGGACTCAGTATAATTCTATCTGGTTTGGCAGGACTTTGATTTCACAAGTTCATCAGCAGTGGCTTGTGTAATATTCCCAAGTCAGGTGCCAGGTTATCAGTGTAGACTTCTCTCCCTTAGCAATGGCTGGCTTCAATGTAATTTTAAGACCCAGGTAATTTCACAGTGACACAGCTGAAAAACTTCCTGTCAACTATTAAAACTCATATGTTTAATAACTTCACTAATAAAGGTAAAACTTAACCAGGGGAATGTAAGCCAACAAACCAAGTTTAAATTGAATTTAAGTATTTATTCAAGATCAAACCGTATTC